ATCTTTCAACACACCTGGCTATTGTTTGCCAAACATTGATTAATTCATTACAAGAGCGTTTCTTCGGACCTAGATGCTGGGAATGCAGATGGAAGGCGTGGCACCGACCACAGGGAGATCACAGGCTGACAAGCCACACTAAGGACACGGTGCAGATGGAAGTGCGTGTGGGAGGCTACGGTAGTGCCAGAGCGGGGCGTGCTGGGTCGGGGGAGGTAGGGGATCAGGGAAGGCTTCTAGGACACATGAGTCCCTTTCAGGATTAAGTAGTTGTTTCCTAAGCATTACAGCCAACTTGCTCAAGGGCATGTTGGTGAGCCCAGGCAAGCACGGAGCACTTGGGTTCTCAGTCATCGGCTATTTCGGGAGCTTCGACTGAAAAGCTCAACCTATTCCCAAGGTCAGCCACTCAGGTCGGAGCAGAAATGGGCTGTGAAATCACAGGCCCTTTACCTTGGTAAGCAGGCTCTGAGAGTGTTCCGACGCACCTCACGGTAACTGTGGCTTCATAAAAATCAAAGCTGATTGATGGGGAGGAGGCTCTCTGCTTTCGTGTGTTTAGTCTACCCGGGCTTTTAGTTCCACTGTGGCTGTGCTTCCTAATGGAAATGCATTTCTCTCTCTCACCATTACCCAGATATAGATGCTCTCGGATGTGAAAGAGCCTTTTTACCTCAAGATTTTTGTCTTGGTAGGCATCCCTAATTCAGGAAGGAAATGAGGAGGAGTCGAGAAAAACCCACCGCAAATGTTTTGTCAGGTAGTTTGAAGAGAGGCAGGCATTTAAAGAGCTCAATTTCTTTATGCTTGGGTTTTCGGCTCCATTACTCTGACTTAGTCCAGTTCAAGGAATTCACTTTCTCTTGTGAAGGGCTGTGGCTAACAGAAAATAAGGTAAGATAAATGATTCTTTTTGCCCCTTCCCCCCCCCCTTTTTTTGCCTTAAAAAATTACAATTGACAGAATAAAAAATCTTCCACCCAGTGCCCTGATGATGTTACCACATCAATTCTGCCAAATCCACTGTGAGGCAGGGATCATCCCCATTATACAGGTGTAGAATCTGAGGCTGAGGGAGGTAAAATACCACGTTCAAGGCTACTCAGCATGTCTCATTCCAAAGCTGGGGGCTCCTACCAACACCTAGTATCTTCCAGAACTGACAAACACGTGTCTGTCAGGATGCATGACAAAGAGCTGTCAAAGCTCTGAGGTAGAAAAGGTAAAAACTGTGCACCCATCTCTTGTAGAAGGAGGACTTGGATGCCCTTCAGAGTTGCAGAAGGACTGGTTGAAGGAAAAGAAAGCAAACCCTCATGGGAACAATTAAAGAGCAGATTCTGAGGTTTCCGACTTCACATAATCTGGTTTTCTCCTCTCAGATTGGCGGCTTGTTCTCTGCTACAAAAATCACACTATATGTGGCAAACACAGACACCCCCCCTCCCCCCCGTCGTTGATTATTTCTGAATGTCAAGCTGAAAAAGTAGTTCATGCTCAAAATTCAGAGTCCAAATGCTAATGCGGGGCTGTGTCTCTTAGTTGCTGTGTGACTGTGGTGGTGCTACTGACCCTCTCTGAACCTCTCCTGATCTGCAGAAGCTGACTTTATACAGGCACCAGGGAAGACTGGGGCTTCTCAGGGAGGCTTCTGAATCAGTGTTTTTCTCTTCCATGGAAAAGCAGGGCAGGAGAAGAAAAGTAAAGGGACACTTAGGAAAGGAAGAGGAAAGTAGTTCTAAACTGGAAAAGAGGCAGGCCAGAAAGCACACTCAGCAATCCTGCTACTTAATTACAAGGCAGGAGAAAACACTGGGTTAACAAGCTCACATCTAAAGTGGGCCTGGACCCTTCCATGAAACCACTCATTAAGACTGCCCAATCCTGGACCCTCCCCATATGCAATTGCATTCCACACCATGCCTAGAAGTGTTTCCAAATGCCTCGGCTCATGGCCATATCCTCAAAACAAGGTCGACTTGAATTCAGTTTTGTTTAATAATGAAACAAAAAGTATCCTAAAACTTTTAGGAAAGTGGGAAGAGGGCATGAAAAGATACTGGAAAATCAAAATAACATATGGATGCTAGCTCTGCTGAAGCTGCACATTTTTGTTGGACGGGGGTGTGGAATGGGGGATTCTGGGGCACAGCAAGTGTTTTATCTGCAATTGACAAATCCCAAATCCTCCCAGCTTCCGTTTCTCCCTACTTAAGACCTGGGTCACGGTATTCATTTACTTAAGTGATGGAGATGAAGGCAAGCTTAAGGCTGGCCACCTGTCAGAACAACAGTGACCTGTTTCTTAAAGGGATTTCAGCAATGCCCCCATCTCCTAAGATCTTTGTAAGACAAAAGGGGGCTGTGAGAAAATATATAGAAAAAAATACACTAATAGCTGGAAGGAGATGGTGAGATGGAATGGAAGACCCCAAGTGGGGCGAGATGCTGCAAAAAATGAGCAGATCCATGGATGCCCTTCCTATTCAGAGATTAGAAGGGATTTTGCAAAGTATGATATCCCAACTGGAAAGTCACGCTCTCTTATCTGCCCCTCTCAAATGTCCTTGGGGTTCTGGTTTTTCATATTCTTATGAAGACAGGTTTGTTACAGTTCCCAAGGAATCCAAACAAACACACTTTCTCAGAAACAATACCCCCCGTGCTCTGGAGGTTGGGCAGGCAACAGACCAAATCCTGCCGGGAAAAACTCAAGACAAAGCAGGGATGACCTTATTTAACAAGCACACATGCATCACTTCCTACATGCCAGGCAGTGATCTCCAACTATGAATTCACGTAACACTTACAACAACTTCCTCCTCCTCCTCACCTCCATTTTTATAGAGAAGGTGAGTACCCAGGCGAAGGTATCAGTACAGGTCCAAGTTAGGGCCAGGATTTGGGCAGGCATGCTGGCCCCAGGGTCTGTGCTTATTCACTACACTGTGCTGGGCCTCAACAGAGAGGAAGTGGTCACAAAGCCACATTGCAGGGCACTCCAGAGGGCTATCTACTTGAGGGATACGAAATACCCCCAGGACGATGCCAGTCTAATATCAGCTCCCCAGGGGCATCAACTTCTCTGGTCTGGAGGCATGGGAAAGAGCATGGGCTATGAATTCAGATAAACCTGCTATTGCATTTTCCATTTTCCTAGAGAAAAGTATTTAATTTGGGGAGGGGTGTTGCTTTCCTATCTATTAAGTGTTGCTTATGTGACCTCCCCCAGGATTCTGTGAAGATTGACAACAAAATACAAAACCTGCTCAGCAGGCCGGGCGCGGTGGCTCACGGCTGTAATCCTAGCTCTCTGGGAGGCCGAGGCGGGCGGATTGGTCGAGGTCAGGAGTTCGAAACCAGCCTGAGCAAGAGCGAGACCCCGTCTCTACTATAAATAGAAAGAAATTAATTGGCCAACTAATATATACAAAAAATTAGCCGGGCATGGTGGCACATGCCTGTAGTCCCAGCTACTTGGGAGGCTGAGGCAGGAGGATCCCTTGAGCCCAGTAGTTTGAGGTTGCTGTGAGCTAGGCTGACGCCACGGCACTCACTCTAGCCTGGGCAACAAAGCGAGACTCTGTCTCAAAAAAAAAAAAAAAAAAAAAAACCTGCTCAGCAGAGTGCAGGTGATGGAAGGTTAGAAAGTACTCAATTAGTAAGAGCTACCTTGAGTGTTTCCTTGTTACATGGAGAAAGCTTTAGGCTTTTGGACAGTCACTATGGGTCTCCTAGAGGCAGTTCATGCATATAGAATGGTGATTGGCTAAAGGAAGCTCTGTCTATGGACCAGTTTACCTTCCAGATTTAGTGGTCTGGGTTGCTTCCTGCCCCCACACAAGTGAAAGTAATTTTAGTAAGTGCTTGGCTTAATTAGTTTGTGTCCAGACGTGCTCTCCCGGGCCCAGCACACACACTTGTCATCAGGATCATCCGCTTATCTCTGGAAGGCTTGCTTTTCCAGAATTCCAAGCCAAGCTCTTGGTTGGTATAAGCGGAATTTTTATTCAGTAGCCTACCTCTCACTCCAGCTCCTTAGGAAGGGGCTTGAAGTCAACATCCTCTTCTACTGATACAGTGGGTCAAAGGAGGGTTGTCACCTTCTCACGGTATCTTTTCTGGCCCCTTTTAGCTGCTATGGTCCTGAGCTGCCTCTAGTGAGAAAGCTTGAGCCACTGCTCTGTGGGCTCAGATCAAAATGTCTATCACAAGACATAGTGGCAGCTAGATAGTTAATAAACATGAACCACTACAATAGACCAAGCTGAGTACATGTGAACCTGAGCTGGAATTTTGGCCTAGAACATTTTCTTTATTCTACTGGTACCGAAATTCCTTTCAGGAACTGCACCAAAGGATCCACAATGGGTAGGAAGGAAGGAAGTTGTATCAGAATACAATCCAACAGCGCTGGGATGGAGGCTTTGTGGCTACATTGCAGATTCAAGAGCACGCTGCTTTTCTTCAGTGGTTCTTCCAGAGGGGGTAAAAAAAGATGCAGTTTCCCCCACTCCACTGCCTACCCCCTGCTGGTGGCCATAGCATTTTAGTGGTAGCATCATTAAAAAGACCAGTGAGAGGAAGGTGGTGACTGCTCTTGGGGACAAATGACAATGTGCAGTGGTTATTCTGCACATTCAGCTGCTTCTCTCCACTCACTCTCACAAACATACCCCAAACAGGATCCAAAGCTTTGACAGCGTAGTCGCTCTGCTCCTGTAGCAATTGCAATGGCCAAAGATGAAACCTTCACCCTCTGAAATCTAAGGCAAGATAGATGACAGCATGATGGAGGGAAAGAGTGCACTGAGTGCCTCATTGATCGACCTGTCAGCCCATGAATGGTGGGTAATAAAAATTTATTGAAAATTAGAAAAAAAAAAGTCACTTATTCTAATTCCTCTGAAAGGGATTAGTGATGTCGCATATGAATAAGTCCCCCCTTCTCCAGGACGAAAATACCATCCTCCCACCAGCCAACCCTCCAAACAGCACGGATTTAAAAATCTTGCAATTTTATTTGCATATAAAGGCCGCTAGATATAGAATATCACAATAAATTTAAAGAAACAACTGCTTTCCTAAATTTCATTAACAAGATAACATAAAATAGAATAAAGCTCAACAGCATTTACAATGGGAAAACAGAAATGACTATTAGCGACAATATTTTGTGCTAGCGAAGATTGCATCGACACACAGTGCAAAATGGGAGGGGAGAGAGGAAGTAAGAAGACAATTCAGGGTATTTAAATAGAAAGGACAACTAAGCCTTATTTTAGTTAGCTTCCATTGCATCCATTTAAATCTATACACGCCTGTAACTGTACCTAGATTTAACTCAAGCTCTTTAAGACCTTGAGTTCTGAAAAATGTGTCAGTTCCTCCAGACTTCTTATGTGCTGCTACACAGCATCCCTTTGCAGTTGTACTGTCCTTGGCAATATTAAACTCCTACCTTAGTCATAATACACAAAAAATACTTATATATATAAACCCATATTGAAAAGGAGTCTGCTCATTTTTTTTAACCGTGTGAAATACCTGTTCTTGACAGATTGCATTTCTGTATTTTTAAAGCTAAAATAATTTAAAAGAAACAAACAAACAATGAGACCTTGCATAACCACGATATGAATCTCACTAGCTAGGCCATCCTTTAAACTTGGGCCGTTTTCTTCCCTTGACACAGCTTTCTTTATAGTGAGAGTGTGAAGAGAAGTCTTTTCCGTGTCTACTTCTGTTGAGAAGATTGCTATAAATCGGGGCCACGTCTGCAAAGAAAAAAAAGCATTACCAAGAAAACAACAACAACAAAACATTAAAAATTAAAATACTTCAAACAATACTCTTAAACAGTTGTGCAAATCTGGGTTGGTTTTTAAAACACTGTCTACCTGTTTCTTATTTTTTTTTTCTTCCAGCTTAAAGCATATTAAAATAAGACATTTATCACTTTTTAAAAGAAAGCTTGGCTGTCCTTTGGCGAACACTAACAATTTACAATGGCATGGCCTTTGAGAAAACAGAAGTCATTTTACAAATTCACAATGCTCCTTTGATTTCAAATGGATGCCCCATTTAAAAAAAAAAAAAATAAAGAAGAAGCACAACCTCTAGCATCGTTTGTGTTCCAACAATTTACAAAAAGAACTCACAGGATTTGGAAATAAGTCAGAGAATGTAAGTTTATAATTAGAAAAATGGCAGTTTATAGACCTTCCCTCACATTCCAATAGAGCCTTTAGAGCTTCAGGAACCCTGTGGGTTTGGAAGGTCAAATATAATTGGAGGGTTGGTCGGTTGAAAGCTGACTGTACACGTTGAGGCATTGATGTACGTTGTGTAACCGTCGGTCATGATGCCGTAACCTGTAGGGAGAGAACGTCACATTTCCTGTAATATATACAAACGACAGTGATGCAAGATAGCACTGTCAGGCAAGGAAAACAAACAAAAATAAAAACCTTGGTCAGTGGGCACGGAGAAGAAATTCAGTCGAGCCTTCCCAGATATGATTACTTTCAGAAGCTACTGCCCAATTGTATTCTATTTTCATTAAAGAATCTCCTTCAACAAAAAGTGACCTTTTTTTTTTGCTTATTTAAATGCTACACTAGTAGAGGGAAAGGCTGTGATTTTGTTAACTAGTGAGAATAAAGAAAAACACTTTCCCCCCTTTTTAAAATAGGATTTTCATTTCAAAGCCCTGTATTAACTATTGAGTTCTAGCAAATGAAATGAGTAACGTAAGAACTGCTCCTCAGGGGCAAACACAGTCAAATTTCCAAATGGGCTTCCGGACAGGTGAGGAGGGAAAGGGTACTTATTGCATTGGGGGTTGACAGATGTGGATGTTCAGCTTATTTATCAATGAAATACTCTCTAGATTGCCTTCATGAAAGTTAACCATAAGTGAATTGTGTGGCTTTAATGCTGAGTTCCATTTCATTCAAAAGTGTTAACTAACCAAATATCCAACTGAAGTGTAGAAACATTACAGTTTCCTAAACTTACCTGGACACTAGATCAAGCAAAAACACTTCCCATATACGATATAAACCTCTCATGACTTATTGGAAGAAAGCTAAGAAAGTTTCAGCATACAGGTTCCTTTTATAATTTTTAATACGTTGAAATTTTTAGCACGTTTGCAAGTGTGCACATTTCCTTGGATATCTTGTCTTTGCCTTACAGCCTCTGTAACTAAGTTCATAATTCTATGTTCCTGAGCTAGGTAGTGAAAAAAAAAAGGAAAAAAAAAGTTGGTAATTCTATGTTGGTATCAGGCTCTTATGGCATATCAGAATATAGTTGTGAAAAAATAAAATTACCAGGACTTACAGAAATAACTGATAAAAGCTTTTTTTCCTTCCATTTGCTAAAATTTCTCTAAGTAAGCCCGTGGAGAGCTTAATGAGGGTCAATGGGAAAATCTCTTAAGAAAAGAAAAGAGGCATTTAAAATCTGCACTGTTTAGTGCAGGGGTCAGAAAGTCTTGTTATCTCTCTCCATCAAGAGGTTGGTATCTGCCCTTTTCCTGCCCTCTTCAGCTGTCTTAAGCGAATAAAAGCGAGACAAGTTTATTTGAATATGATCTCCTCCCTTTTAAGCAAGTTTATTATTTGGGGCTTCGGTGGAATTCCCCAATTGTCTGGTTAGTTTAAATCTAATTAATGATTAAAAAAAAAAAGATGAAATGCAAACGCATAGGCATGCTGCAGGAAATCTGACCTGTTTTCAAGATAACGGTCCTCCAGAAATGCTATTTAGATATGAGCTCCCAGCTCTTCAGTGTCCCCTTTCCACACCCTCCCCCATATCATACCTTAGAGAAGTGCCCTCCTTTTCAGGGAGCACAGCTCAAAGTCAAGGCAGGCTGACATCCTCTCTCTGGGCGCTGCACCCTGCTTTCCACCCACGCAGCTGGTACCTGCTCTTGGAGCAAGCTGAATTTTCTCTGGCCTCAGTAGGATGATTTTCAATATGCTCTTTATTACCCGCCTAACCAGGAAGCCACTGGATTTGTGGGCTTTGAAAAGCAAACTTTGTTTTTTGCATCATCAGGCACATAGCCTTAAACACCTCAACTTGACTGCAGATTCATAAATAACTCTGGAGAGCAGCCGTTTGCATGAGCTGGAGAGAATACAGCGGCTGCCCACGTAAACACAGCCATTGCACACAGGCGTGTGCAACTGGAAGTCTTGTAGGGTCAGAAAGCCCAAGGCCTGCTCAAAGAGGGCTTTGTGTCTGTCCAAAAGCCCAGTTACCCCTAGTTTGAAAAAGGCAGGACAGACAAAACCCAGAGTGCTAAAGGTCCCTGGGAGGTTTTCGGGTTCTGCGAACCTGACTTAGCTTACCTTAAAAGGCAGAAAACGGCAATTGGACCAGTTCCCATTTAGAGGAGATTTAATTATCCTATTTAACCTCAGTCTGAGCTAATAGCTCTGATGATTTCTGAGAAGTCTGAAATAGTTTTCTGAGGTTAGTAAGAAAATGTCTACCTGCAAACGTGCGGGTTCCCGCCACTTCTGTTATATATCTTTCATTGCATGTCCAAAGTTATTTTTCAGAGAATGCCTTGTCTTCCTGAGTCTTTGTGTGTATTCCATATGGAACACAATATTTATAGGTAGGAAGGGACTATAGAAGCTTTAAATAACTTTTAATATCCAAGTCATTTCTTCGAACTGTCTTAAGGAGAAAATTCATCTTAAGTACCTCGGAGTTGCCCTAGTGCAATGGTTATTAAACATTCCTCATTACAGCCCTGAGATTCCAGAAGCTGCCAGGGGAAGGGCTGGATTTGCGGTAAGGTGGGCTAGATGTGGCTCCTACTCTCCACTCTGCTTACAAGAGAGCAGTTCCTTATAAAATATTTACCAGCTTTATATGCAGATATTTCTTATCAGATTTTGTTTTATAAAAGGGCTGCACTGTTAAAAAGTTTGAAAACCCCTGCTCCAATTATTCCCAGTTTAGCCAAGGTCTCCTCTTACAGAATGAGATCATGGATCCTGACATAACATGCTGTGAGTTCCTTTCTTCTGTTCTTACCTTCATGGATTCCACCAAACACGTGGAGCTTGGGCCGGACTCGCCTCTGGACCGTGTTTAACAGCTCCACACAGCCCACTCTTTGAAGCTCCTTTGGAACCCAGTCTCGAAAACCTAAGGGCAAAATGCAATCAATACACTTAATTTTCTTTCTTCAGGTAAGGTTTCATTTAGACTTTCAGGAAGCCATAACTCATGGAAGGTTTATTACATTATCTGTAATCCTAGCCTCTCCATTAAAGCTCACAATGGCTTTTAAGAAACTTTTCACTCGTCACTTTGTCTTCTTTAAGTTCTTGAAATTTTTTTTTTTTTTTTTGGTTTCCATTTTTTTCTTCCTGTTAATTAACAATTTTTTTTTTTCCTGTGGGGGATTTGATTTATTCAGCTACGGGTTTCAAATCTTCTTCATGGGCTCAATGACATTTATTCCCGGCAGTCCCATAATATCTCTTTCTCCCTCGATTCAGTTACTTTTTCTTTTTTATTGTTATCTTTCTTATAGCAGTTTACTTCCAAGGCGGTTCAAAGAAGAGGGACTGGGAGGGGGCTGCCTGTACGCTGGCCACAAGACACCGCGCTCTCTTTAGACACAGCAACTCTTACCCCTTGCTGGTCCTGATGACCATCGCTTTGGAAAGCCAAGTTCTTCCTTTAGTCTCTTTTCCAGTGATAGGCAACAATGTGACCTCATGGTGGCATCCAGCAAGCGGGGGCTAATTGACTACTTTTAAAGTAAAAGCCACTTAGTTCTTCGCTTAATGCAGAAAATCCATAAAAACTGACATCAATTATAGCAAAAGTCAGTTATCTGGATGATTATGGGCTGGGATGGAATCCATTCGCCTCAGCAGGATGGGGCATAAAAGAGGCAGGTGGGGCGCAAGGCTAAATTGTAACCTATGAAAAATCCATTCCCATAGCTCCGTTAGGTTATTTCTACTCTTTAGAAATGACTGGGCAGAAAGGAACAGTTTTCTACTTTGTTGGGCCAAACGGTAGGCGGTCATATTTAGTGTCTCTGTCAAGACTTGTTAGCTGGGGTGCAGGGAGTGACCAGAGAGTCTGGGAAGGACAGATGAAAGTGAGGGTCCCAGCAAAAATCTAGCAAGGGTTTTCAAAACTTTTTTTAATTAGAGAAAAAAATCCTTAATCCATAGTGATGGGCATATTACCTCATGGGTGTGTTTTTCTTGAAGGGGGAAATGATTCCATTTCATATACAGGCACCTGAGAAACCATCTTGCTCATACCATAATAGTAAAGTCCCACAGCACTGGGGCTGCCCTCAGCAGTAGGAAAGAATTCAAGGCCAATCTCCATGGTCCCCTTCCCAATATAGCATTTTTGTAAGAATCCCAGTAACTGTATTAACTTAGGTTCAATGTTACCTTATGAAAATGTTGCCTGACCTTTCATTTTGGAACTCCTTGATGGAGAATACACTCTGCTACGCACAGCCACACTCTGGTTTATTTCTTACCACCAAGAGAGCCTCCTTATTAAGAGTTCCTGGGATTGGCCTGAATTCTTTACAGTCTAGAATTCAGACTTGCTATTACTATCACTTGCTTCTATAGCAAAATCAATGGCTTGATAGTTTCTGAATGATTGTTCTATTGGAAGTTATATCACAACTAATATTCCAATCATGTAAATGTCTCTATGCTGAAGATGTCCAAGTCCCTTAAAATAAAAGCAGCCCAGAGGAATTCATGCTTGCACCTAAACAGGCTGCTCTGTTGGGTGCTCTCACTGGGTAACGCATATGGATTAGAATATTTAGCTAGCAATTTAATGATTTAGGTAGTCTGATGGTTGCAAAATAGAGAACTTAATTAATTATGACTTGACAAATGTTGGCAAGCATAATCCTTTAAAACACGGGATGGGGTGCTATCAAGAAGGGAAAAAGGCATGGGAATGGTGATTCCAAAGTGTTGAAAAGGCAGGAATTGATCTTGTGCAAATCTGTACAAATCCCATGTCTGCAACAGAACTGGCTCCCCTTATCTTTCTTCCTTTATCACTAAAATGTATCACCATGGCCTCCACCCTGGTCCCCTCTTCTATAGGGACCACTTCCTTTGTAAGGGAAGAAAAGCAGTACCAAGTGGCTTAGAGGAGAAAATATCCACAAAGATTAAATTTGCATTAGGGATGAGTATTTGATTCTTTTTTTAATTTTTATTTTTAGAGGCAGGGTCTTGCTCTGTTGCTCAGGCTGGAGTGCAGTGGTGTGATAGCTCACCATAAACTTGAACTCCTGGGCTCAAACGACCCTCCTGCTTCTCAGTCTCTTGAGTAGCTGGGAATATGGGCATGCACTACCAAGCCCAGATAATTTTTTTATTTTTTGTAGTGATGGGGTCTCACTATGTTGTCCAGGCTTGTTTTGAACTCCTGGCCTCAAGTGATCCTTCCACCTTGGTCTCCCAAAATGCTAGGAGAGTATTCAATTTTTTATTTGTCAGGCTGACAGATGAGGGAAGTGACATAGATAATAACCCCAACCACAGGAAAAATTGTAGCAATCATTTATATTTGTGTTAAGTGTTTCCTCCTCTCTCCAAACCAAAATGACCCCCAAAAAGAGAAAACCTCTTTTAGTACTATACACTCAAAAATTCATCAAGATGATAGATTTTGTGTTGTGTGGTTTTTTTTAGCACAATAAAAAGCAAGGAAGAAAGAACAAAGAGAACATTCCTCTATTAAAAGTGAAATATCTGAATTTCCTGAGCACACCTTAGTTGGACAGAAGTATTCTAGTATAATGAGTACTGAGTAGATGAGGGGTCCATGACAGTCATGGTTGGAAAATGTTCTGTGCCTAAGCCAAACAGATAATAAGCTCATGAATAATTAGAAAATAATAAGTCAAATCATCATCTTCTGACCTGTAATCTGGATCACTAGGGTATAGCTTTGAAGCATACAGGCAATATGAGCCTGGATGCAGGCTCGGGGTGCCTACAGAATGAGTATCCTAAAGTAACTTTCAACATAAGTCCTTACTGAAATACATTAGCTTAAAAATAAAAGATTCTTTTCTCCAATAATCAGCTCAAATGCTAAACTTTAAAGATCCCCCAGGTTCCAACATCATATAGAAAAAGGAAATGAACCTCTTTGAACAAAAATGTCCATCATTTCATTGCCACTCAAAAGCCTTGAGATTGGGAGGTCTGTAGCTTCCTTCCATTCCGCACCCCTCCCCCTTTACTCCAAAGTGAATACAGTTCTTAAAATAAATTATCGAGAGCTCAAAAGACTGTGGTGCGCCATACTCATTTGATTTTTCCCTGACTCAACTAAATCAAAAAATTTAATTTCAAGAACACCTGTAAGCCCAGCAGAACTGCTGAGTTTAATTATCATACTGGGTTTCTTTAAAGACATTGACTTTTCTTTTTGTATTCACTTTTTTTTTTTTTTGGAGGAAAATGATTATGTCCCTGAAGTATTATTCATTATGCTTGGAAAAAAGGCCTCTCGGATGACAAAGGACAACCTTTGCTTCACTTACCTAGAGGAGGTCCATGTGTCATGAGTATGTCGATGCCCTCTGGGATGAGGTTCCACTTGTCCAGCAGAGACTGACCTCTGGGCAGGTTAAAGCCCCATCCATTAAACCACGGGGTCCTTGGGGGGAGATAATGCACATGGTATCAGGCCAGCAGAGCCACGTCTCTGCGCTGCAATATTTCTCTCTCGCACATTCCCCCACGGTTTGCATCGCTCTCTTTTCTCTTTTTGATGGTTGGCCCTGGCAGCGGGATGCTTTTTTGTTGACTGCTTCAAAACCGATCCATGTGAAAGCAAGCGTGAAGCCTACGAATTGTTCCACTAGAAAGGGGCACAGGAGCCTTTACAGTGGAGACTGTCCCAGCAGGCCTCTATCAAAATCTTGACAATGCTTTGTCTTCCCCCAAATCTTAGTGCTTCCTCAGATACCCAGCCCCGAACCAAAGCGTTTCCGCCCTTCCTGTAGTGCCTCAGAGCTAAGAAATTCTGCAGCACTCCTTCTCCCTCCCCATCGCTAGGGAACAACTTCGCCAGAAAGATGCTTACTAAAGTCCCTGAAGTCCCTGGAGAAAAGGACAAGAGCTCAGAGGCAGAAACCTCTGTCCATTGAGATGTTTTGAATACCCTGGACTGAGATTTCTGGAAAAAATATGGGGACTCTGAAATGTGAGAAGGAGCACAGTGAACGAAAAGCAAATGTGGACTTTTTTCTCATGCCACGAAAGAGACGATGTGGGGGACATCCCTAGTCACTCTGGAATCCTCTCCTCTGATAATGAACGTGAGCATTTCACCATCACAGGAACTTCTGCTCCAGGAAAGAGTTTCTGAGGTTGATGCTCCATGGAGAAGGGAAGGGAGTCTTTGTCTTTCCCAGGAGCATCTCTAATTAGAGCTGAGCATGTGTCTACTGTTTATAACACAGGTAATGGAAGAAGGATTGATTTTTCTCTACAAATATTATAGGCTAAATCACAATAGATCTAAGCAGTTCCCAGTATTGTCCTAGTCCCAAACATCTAGATATAACCAAGCATCCTTTGAAACCATTCTCTTTTGTTCTGTGTGCAAATTCCAGTTTGCTAGGGCATACATGTAAAAAACAAGTCGGTTTTCCTGCTAAGCCCAACTTTCCCCTTCAGCTCAACCTGCCCCTTCCATGCCAAATGAAAGAGGTGACCCTTTGTACAAGGGGACCCTAACCTTGCCAGTCAGAGCTAATCAAACAGAGTGCACTCTTAAAGACGGTCATTGCCAAGACTGATCAGATTCTCTCAAGAATTTGAACTCAGACACACTGACACAGTTTTCGTTTGGTGGTGGACAAGTGTAGTCAAGGCCAGAGATGGAAGGACGGCAGTTGAAAGCCATGTGAAAATCCACGTTGCAGGTGAAAACCTCAGTTCCTACTGAGGTGGTTGAGAGAGAAAGTTCCAGAGAGAATAGACTATGTGGCCACAGACAGAAGAGAAAGTATCTGACTTGCTTCCTAACAGGATGCTCACCTGTGATAATAATAATATAATAAGAGTGATTATTATCAAAGCTATTGTTTATTTACTGCTTACTCTGTGTTGAGGTGCTATTCCAAGCACTTTATTTGTATTAACACATTTAAACCTCACAGCAAACTCATGAAGTGGGTACTATTATCATCCCCATTTTATAATGAGAAACTGAGGCAGACAGAGGTCAGATAAACACAACTAATACCTTGGATATAAACCCACAAAGTCTGGTTCCAAAACCTTATTTGGCCACCAAGCAATCCCTCTTCTTATATACTACCTGAATTGACTTCTTACTTGCCTTGGGTGAGACACTTCTGTATGCTTTCAAGTTTGAGTATTTTGTTGCTTAAAACCAAATAAGCTCTAAATCGAAACAGCATATCAATTTAATGGTCCTGAAGTCTAGCTATAACATGGGGGAGTGGACACTTGCAGTGTTTGCCTGTTCAAATCTTTCTCCCCTCTCCCTCTCCCTCTTAGTACATGTGCTTCCAGTAAGGCTGATTCCATCTCTGCTCTAGGATGAGGCAAGTGTTGTATCTTCTTGAACAGTGATCAGCTTAGGGATATATGTATGACCCAACTTGGGTCAATGAGGGTCATCCTCAGGATTTTGCTGGTGCTACCCAAAAAGAGGTCATGGTTTCCTCTCTGGGATCCTGAATCTCAAGACCTGTGTAAGCCTGGAGTCACCTGGGAGTTAGCTTGGCCATCATGTAGATAGACCCTGCTTGAGAATCAAACTGCCACAGAGAAACACAAGACAAGAAAGAGAAGGCTCTGATGATATTGTTGGACATAGGGATCCAGCTGTGCCTGAAGCCAGTTGAACTTTCCTTCCAAATGTAAGAGCCAATCAAGTCCTTTTCTTTTTATTGACTTGAATTAGGTCTTGTTTCTTAAACTGAAAGAGTTCTAATATATATAATAATTGTATGTCATGTATGCCTGTGTTAAGCAAGGATGTCCCCACTGCCAAATGTCCTTGTCCTAATCCCTACAACCTGTGAATATGTTGCTTTACATGGCAAAGGGGAACTAAGGTCACTGAGGGAATTCAGCTGACCATGAAATAGGGAGTATATCCTGCATTATCCCGGTGGGCCCAGTGTAACCACAAGGGTCTGTAAAAGTGGAAGGGGGAGGTGGAAGAAAAGATCACAGTGATGCAACGTGAGAGGCACTCAACCTGCTGTTGCTGGCTTTGAAGACGGAAGAAGAGCACCAGAAGCCAGGGATGTGGGCAGCCTCTAGAAGCTAGAAATGGTAAGGAAAGAAAACCAATCCTCCCGTAGAGCCTCTAGAAAGGAACGCAGCCCTCCTGATACCTGCATTTTAGTCCAGCGCGACCTGTGTCCGACTTCTGACCAATCTATTTGTAAGATAAACATGTGTTGTTTGAAACCACTAAATTTGTGGTGATTTACAGCAGAAATGGAAAACTAATCCAGTGCCTACAATGCCTGAGCTGGCTGTAGAATACAAGGACCGTGTGTGGCTGTGGGTCTCACTTGGTATGTAGCATATGCTCCGTTGGCACAGTCCCTCCAAGCCATGCTGTCCTTTCAGCAAGATGCGATGCTTTTGCAATCCTCTGAGGAGGAGGCAGTGCTCACTGTCTTACCCAAGCAGGGCTCGGAGCACGAAGCCTCTCGTGCCTGTGGATAATGCCAGCTAGACCCTTGTAGAGCACGACTAGTCAGTCCTACTCTCTATTGTCTTCTAACACTCCCTGCTCTCAGGTTCTTAGACATTTTCATTAGTGTCTAAAGTAGAGCTTTCCTAGTTTGGGATGTTCATCCTTCTCTTTAATTTTACAGTGACCCTCTTCCAAGATATGTCTTAAAAGTAAGAACGAAACAAAAAGGCAACTTCAAAACCCAATGAAAATTCTGTGAGCATTTCAGCCAAAAAGAGACAGAGACAAAATAAGCAAAAACATCTGTTTTCCTAGATTTTGAAAACAAGCTTCTGGGCCTATGGTTCTTGTCTGGATGGCCAATAAAGAAGGATTTGAAAGAGTTCCGAGTACTCCCAAATAGCTGGTACAGTGAGGGGCTCTGATTTCATGCTCAGTCTTTCTGAGAACAGTCAGCCTCTGAACCCTTAAGATACTCATGGGCTTCCAGACTCGAAGGAGCAAGACTTAATTTTTTTCAGTCTTTCCAGTTTTTCCATGGAGAATTTTCTTTTGGAACCCCACAGCCATATTCCCCAGGAAGCACTGTTTTATAAGTGCTCTGTAAAAGATAAGACAAACTCACGGTCTGTAGATACCCCCAATTTTATTCGCTTAATGTTAAGCTTATGACAAAATCCAGAAGTTTCCAAGTTAAGGGTAAAAGGTTAAAAATGTCTGGCTTCTATTTTGACTCAAATCTGTATGTATAAGAGAATGAGTTCAGTTAAGTTACAGGAAAAGGAACATTTATCAATTCCCTGATATGCTTTTACACGGCGCTTTTACACAGATGATTGAATTTAATTCTTCACTGCAATTTTTAAACTAGGTATCATCAGTTCTATTTTAAGCTGAAAACCTGATGATCAGTGTGATATCAAGGAACTTGTTCATGTTCCCAGGGCCAGTAAGTATTAACAGTAGTAAGAGCCAAAATTTGAACCCATATTTGCTAGCTCCAAAGTCTGTGTTCTTCCCTTGCACAATGCTGACTAAAACCTTCTAGCCCAATTTCAGCTTTGGCTCACACATATCTAAAGTAAAAACATGACTGCTCCATACAGTTTCTTAGGATGTGCACTGCACAACTCCAGGAGGAGCCATGGCATCGTGCAATTGAGGTAGCCCTTAGTAAAAACATGGTGAGATATGGCCTTTCTGGGTGCATTCCATTCCTCTGTATCCTCTAGGTAAGGTCTTTCCAGAAGACAGTGGCAGGCAATGGGAAAAGCAGGCCAGTGATACACTCTACAATTATCCCAGCAAGGTAAAATATATGGGGCATAGAGAAGTGGGGAGACATATGTGCTAATCCTCATTCTGGCATCAATCAACTAGTCCATTTGGACCACATGTAAAAGAAGGACCCTCACTGGTTGAGTTTTCTCATCTGAGAAATGAACACGTGGGTGGACACAATTACTGGATTTCAAGATTGTTTGTAGGCTGTAGAAAACTTATGCAGAAGCCCAGTATGTGAAGCAGGCAAATGCAAAGGGGTTCTTGCCATGGGACTGGGAAGAAGGGACTCAGCCTGCTCGCTCACTCAGCTCCCTCCTTTTTACTATCCTATACCTCTGAGCACAGCTGGCCAAACCTAGCACTTGATGATCTTTTATGATCTAAATATCCTAACATTTTATAATTTTGTGCAGATTATCAATATTCTCAGTAACTGCTGTGAATTGCTCTCAGTGAATTACCTAAATTGCCTGTGACGGACCAAGTCCAGTGTGGGAGAAGTATCTGTACAGAGCAGAGACTGAACGTGTCAGTGTCAATGAATAATGCTTTATCCAGTTGAGTTTCAACCTGAAACACGAAACCCCAGCAGCGAGCCAATCAGGGGTTCAGTGGAAAATATGTGCAGGGCCAACCTCCAGAGACCCACAGTGGGTTTTGTTCTGTAGCAATGGGGGGTAAGGGGAAAGGGGGGAAGGGGGGAGGGAGGAATCCAAGGGAACAATGTCTATTGCCTTGGCCAAGGACTTAATAATTAGCTGTGACTAACAAATACCACATGGGAACCAACTTGTAAGAAAATGTCCCACAAAGTACCCTATTGCCAGTGGGCCAAGCTGAGCCTGCAACCCATCCCCTCCCAGGGAGGAATTAGAAAGCCCTGGAAGGAAGGAGAGCAACTTCATCAGCCTGAAGCCACTGGACCGAAGACTCAGATAGGTAGAAGCTGGGGAAGCTTTCAAGGTACCCTCCCCCCTGCTCTTGAAATTATAGGCACTTGGCCTCTCTGGGCTAGAATTCCAGGGGCAGGGACTAAGGGAGTTAACATAGGCAGAGTTTGTTCCAAACAATGTCAATACGAAACAGGTTTTCTATATGGAAGTTGAAATGAAATCGCTGCAAAGGTCATCTCTGTTTGCAGTACACAGTGCGGTGGTGCAGGCAGAAGGGAGCTGCCCGGCCGTAAATCTTGGGAGGCTCAGACAGGTGAATGGCTGTTTACTCCCCTGCAAACTCCAGTGGGGGCTGGGCACCGCCTAGGAAAGCAGGATGTGGAAGCAGGAAGTTGGTGCTTGTTGTGCTCAGGTGAGCTACTGGTGTGACAGGCCAGTGCCTGCAAATTCTCAGTGGACAGACAAGTCCCGAGCTGGCTGCATCACAAAGACTCAGGTTCTTATTAATATGGTGTCCTGGGTGCTTTCTGCAGTGCCTAAGGATTGGCATCCCCGGGGCAGCTCCACTGTGGTTCTGCACAGAAGCTGCGATGGGAAAAGGGCAAGGACTTACACAACACCCAGACTTAGGAGCCGGCAGGCTGGGTGTGCCAACTAGTGCCATGAGGACCTAGAGGGGCTATAAAAGCTAGCCATTCTTAATTTGCAGGCAGTGGTTAAGAGCATGCATTATGGAGTCAGATCCACGTTCAAGATCCAGACCTGCCACTTATTAGCTTCTCCGAACTTCAGTTTCCTCATTTTTCAAATAATAACAGAATATCAGCCCATGTAGATAAAGTGAGCTAACTTATGTAAAATTGTTGGCAGAGTACTGGCACAGAGTGTTAACATGCAGCTTTTAATGTATATATGATATGTATTATCAATATGCATGCATGTGTGTATATACATGCACGCACACACAGAGTTGCTCATATTTTTTCTTCCTAGAATTTCCCAAGTAACAGCTTTTCAAATCATAGACCCTCCCGCTCCTGACTTCTGAAAAAGTCCCAGATAAATAGGCGTTACTAGGTGGCTGGACAGAGCCTGATCTCCTCCGACTGATTACTTATTCAAAGGCCCTTCCTCAGTCCACTTTTGAGTGGAAATTTTTCAGAAAGGCATTCGCTCCCTTGCTTGCTCACTCACTGGCTCGGTCTTGCATAGACAATCCTGTGGAATGTGAGAGCACGGGGCAAACCGGTTAGTCAAGGCTGCTTAGCCAGCTAGTACAGGTGGTTAGATTTTGACAAGATCTTAAATTGGGGAAGTTCAGAGAAGGGGTTACTTTGGGTCCTTGGAATATTTATAACAGGGGGCACAGAGAGGTTCACTGGAGGAATTGACAAGCTACTAATTAATGCATCACTGCTGCCTGGCACCTCCATTAAGCAAAACTCGGAAAGCGGGAGCCAATTTTCACATACACTTTCTTTTCTAAACGGTAGCCCTTCCGAATCGCAACCTTCTTCCCGCCTGGCACTCTCAGCCGCCAGTGGCCCCTCTCCGACTGCACAGCACACCAGGTCCAGGAGAAGCTAATTTAACCACCGCTGGTTAAAATCATACTGCACTTCACAGCGCCTTTCACATGCCATGAAGCTGTCATGATAATTCTTGATCTCTAGCTCACCTGACAGCTCAGCCCTCCCTTGACTGCAAAGCTTCCCCGCCAGTTAGAAATAGCAGTTTCCCTGGCACCAGATGTGTCATCCTGAATATCCAGATGAAAGGCAGACACCTGCCCCCTGCTCCCTCCCCGCCCTGCCTCGTTTTCCCTTCTTAGCTCTGGATTTTGTTTAAGAAGGCAGCCTTCTCCCACCACCCCCAAGTCCCTCCACCTGGCAGCTGGTAAGTTACTCTTCTGTGCAATTAAAAAGATGTCTTGCGTTAGCCCGCACAGCACCTTCGCACCCTGTGCAGCAAAGAGAGACACACACCCCGATTGGCATTGCGGGGAGAGGGAGGGAAAACTTAACTTCAGGGCGAGATTTCCACCCCTGTGCAGCTGCTTGGGAAGCCTGCCCAGCCCCGACCACGGGCTCAGCTGCCTCCAAAGGGCAGCGCCGGCTCCTCTCTCGCCAGCTGTCTAGTCCCATCTCCTCGCTATGACTTTGTAGCCTGGTCTTTCATTATGAGGTCCATGGGATGAAAAGAGATACTGTTGTGATAGAGGGCAGGCCTGGGTGAATAATGTGGTCTGTGTGTTGTGGACAGAAAAAGAACAAATCGTGCCTGAGGTGGTCACCTGAGCCCCATGAGCTGAGCACGGGGGCTTCTTCAACCAATGCAGAGCGCGCTGCAGTCTGCACAGACACTCCGTGTCCCCCCTCTTTTGTAGCTAATAAAGAACAAGTGTCAGAATTAAGCCTCTGTTACCCATTCTCCCTTCACCTACTGGAAAGGAGGTGGTGTAAGCCGAATTTGTCTTAGAAACCAAGAAACAAAAAGACACCATGACCTGTTTTCGAACTTGGTGTGCTCTGAATTATTAAAAATAATAGTGTCTGCCCAGCCCTCCAAAGCACACCTCCTCTAATCTTGTAAACAAGTTCATAGCAGGAAGAGGAATACTCTCAATCCGTCTCCTTCCACGTGGCTGTGAGGGAGACCATGCCCATCCATCACGCAAAGAGAGGCTGACAGGGCAGAGGAAGATCATGGCAGGACTTCTGTCTCGGTGGGCAGGTGAAGCGGATTTGGGGCATGCCCCGGTGCTTACGGAAGTGGCTCTTTGTTTTGCTGCTGAGGAAATCAGAGGACGAGGTGCCCTGGGTCGGAATGAGGGAGGGCTGGCCCTGCTCAGATATAAGACCCTGATGAGAGGAACAGCCCTGAACTGGGCAGCCCCCAATGGGATCTGCACTGATGTCCAAGCCCTGGCAGGGAGAATTCCCCAAAGAGGACATCACAGCCCCAGGTTTGAAAGGGAGGCTTAACACAGTGGGAAGCAGGCAGAAGTAAAGTAGCATTTGTCTTTTTTATTTCCTTTTTTTGTGGTGATCTTTTTCTAGTGTGGTAAAATATATGTAACACGCAATTTACCATTTTAAGTGTATAATATAATTCAGTGACATTAAGTACATCCACAATGTTGTGCAACCATCACCATTATCCATCTTGAAAATTTTTGCATTATCCCAAATAGAAGCTCTGTACTCATTAAACACTAACTTCCCACTCCCCCCACCACAGCCCCTAGTGACCACTATTATACTTTGTGTCTTGATGAATTTGGCTATTCTAGATACCTTACATAAATGGAATCAGACAATAATTGTCCTTTTGTGTCTGGCTTATTTCATGTAGCATGATGTTGCCAAGGTTCTTCCATGCTGTAGCATGCGTTAGAAACATATTCCTTTTCATGGCTGAATGATATTCCATTGCGTGGGCAGGCAGCATTCATTTTTTCATCTGAGGTTTCTGAATGTCCTGTATGTGCCAGGCACTAAGCTTGGCCATAGGGACACCTGGATAAAGAGTCCCTGTCCCTTTCCTTGTGAAGCACATAGTCACTGGGTTGAATGCCCAGCGAGGATGGGTTCAGTGAGGTATTTCCCAGGGCAGATGCTTATTCAACAGATATCGCCTGGATGCCAATGATGTGTGAGGTTCTGCCAAGGTAGGTGCTGAGAATACAAAACTGAATACAGTTTCCAGAACAAATCCACAGCCAGCCATTTCATAGGTAAAGTTGCCCTGGACAGGAGTCTTTAAACTTTGGCCTTCTTTTCTAAACCTAATTTCAGAGGAGGTTGGGGAACATCAGAACGATGTGAGGATTGATTCAGCAGTTCCAAATGCAGACTGGCCCCAAGGTCAGGAGGTGGCCGGGACATCTGTGACAGGACTGGGGGAGGGGCCCTTCTATTTCCTCCTATACATTCCCTAATAAGACTCTGCAGCTGAAACCAGGACCACAAAACCCAAAACCACATCCTACTAGAGACAGCCTGGGAGGGCAGTGTGTGTCACATGCCTGGCTGGCTCCAAAGCACAGGACAAACTGGACAGGGGAAGAGATGGGAAGACTGCCAAGTGCTCGAGAAACTCAGCAGAGAGCACCTGTGCCTCTACTTCCCCCATCCCTACACTTCATATACGTCACAGGATCCACGCAGGTAGAGACTGTTTTTCTAACTTAGATTTCCCAAAAGAGTAAGAAAAAGAGGAAAAGTAGGTTCAGGATTAGCTGGAGTTTGTCTGGTTACCTAGTGAACTCTCAAGAATTGATGTTAATGAATAAGGATGGACTGATAAAATCTCTGCCCCAAAATAGAGAATAATGCACACTTTTATTGTTTTAGTTCAGAATGCGCTGGCGTGAGTGTGTGTTGTTACACAGTCATGTTCCCAATGCTGGTTTCTTTTGTATACTATTTAATATTCTGGGGCATCAAAGGGGCATAGCTGGGGCATCAAAGGGGCATCAAAGGGGAGGATTTCACTGCCACCTGAAAAATAAAATAGACCCAAGAAGAATAATTGATTGACAATCAAATACTATGCAGCCGTTAAGCATAGCGTAGACTGGAAGCTTAGTGACTTCAGTCTGGTTCACTACTGTGTCTCCATTGCCTGGCACAGAGCAAGTGCTTAAGTATTCGTCAGTTGAATTAAGAATCAGTGTTCATGAAGGGTTTGCAACTTCATGAGAAAATATATATTCCTTGATGGCCAGCAGAAAAGCAAAGCAGTAGCATAAATTCAAGCACGTAAAGAATGCTTAGAAAAAAAGAAACAGACCAATATGCTTAATGGCTATCTTGGCGGGGGGGATTATGAGTGATTTTTTTTTCCTTTCTATTTGTCTATTATTTTCTATGTTTTCTGTAACAACTACATATCATTTGGAAAGGAAAAAATTATTCATTGTAAAACTCTCCATACAGGTGGAACATGGATGAAAGAATTGGAAGAATTTGGTATCTACTTAGACTTCACTCTTTGGCTGCAAGGCAATTTCCTCCAGAGGGTAGGGAAATTGGTGGGTTTGGGGGGCTTTTGCTCATGAAGGTGGCATAGGGCCAACCTTCTTTCTCTCTGCTCCCCATTTCCACTTGTGATAACAGAAAGGCATCTTCAGCAGCTGAAGTATTATATTCGTTCAGGTAATTCAATACACGTTTACTGAGCATCTACTTGGTGCCAAGCACCACTCTGTTGGTGGTGTACACCTGTCATCTGAGAAATTTCAGTTTAAATGTAGACAACATTATATATCTGCCTGTCACTTTACTTATTACAAATCATCCTTACATTTATTAGTTCATAATAACCCTGAGAGGTGAGCAAGGTATTAATTGTAGAGAAAACAAGGTATAGAAACGGGAATTTTAGTGACTTGCCCTGGGTCACCTACACTGAGGTGGCATGAACAGGTCTTTGGAGTGTGATGATTAAGCAAGCAGGGTTAAAAGTTAGGCAGGTCTGGATTCTATTCCCAACTGCTTTCTACTTAGCAATGTGACCTTGGGCAAGTTCATCCATCTGACCTTGTTTGCTCATCTGTAAAATAGAGATAAGGGTACCAACCACACGAGTTCGCTGTGAAGATTAAATGTGATAATATATGTAACATATTTAGCAGAGAGTCTATTCTATATTAAGAATTAGAGGATAACTCTCATGTTCATCATCATGAATGTTAACTTCATTGTAAATATTAATGTCACCAATCTCTTGGTCTGTGTTCCCTAATTATCTTCTTCATATCACCACAAAGTTTATCTTCCCTCCACTTTTCAGATTTAGAATGTGGACACCAAAGAATGGAGTGGATCCATCACAAAAGCAATGGGATGATGGCATTTGATACGGGTGGGCCAGCTTTGAATAACAGGAAGACACTGACTTGGTAGTTAGAAGACAGGGGTTCCAGTCATGGCTCTTTCAACTAACTTGCTATGCAATGTGCTGCTAGTACCCTCTCTGAATTCCTGCTTCTTCACCTGTAAAATGGGGATAAAAATTCCTGTGAAATTTGCAAGACTGTCAAACAAATGCCTGTATAATTTTTGAGTCGCAAATAAACAGAAAGCACCTTCTGATGAAATGTCTTCGAATTCCCATGTCATTTCTTGTCTGTGTGGCCTGTTTGTGCTGTTCAAAAGCTCAGAGGAATTGGAATAAGTGACAAATAGGTCAGATGTAAGTTAAAGTGCTGGCCCCATTTATCTACCATTTTGGCTCTAAACGACTAGCTTCGGTACAGACCGATTTAGTGATGTGAGAAAACTGTGACTGCAAACAGGCGGTACACACACAATCAGAGGAGTAAAAAGCTTAAGCTGCCCCTGCAATTCAGAGGTTAAAGCAAGCACACAGACCCAGTGTCTCCCTCACTTCTTGCCAGCCGACCATATATTATTAATTGGGCTCAGCAAACATTATTGAGCGCCTTCTCCTGCAGAACTCTCTGGGAAGGTGCTCTGGGGAGATCTAAATACAAAGCGAGGCAGAGCCCCACCCTTCCCCAACCTGCCATCTGGTTGGGATAACAAGATCGTCACAGGCAAAACTGTTCTCCCCTATCTCTGCCCATTAAAATTTCACTGAGCCCTCAAGGCTCAACTAGTAATTAGATTTTCCCCAAGAAGCTTTCCCCAATCCCCTCATCCCTTTGCTTAACCCTCATTTCTGGCATTTATCAGACTCCGCATTTTTACTGGCTGATGTGTGTGTTTAAAAAAAAAATTATTTCCCACCTCATTCCAACAAGCATTTGAGTCCAAGTTGTGTTATGGGTATGTCTATCTTCCCCAGTGAATCGCGAAACACGTCCTATTTATCTTGGTGTCCCCCAAGATCTAGCACAGGGCCTGACACAAAATAGATGTCAAGAAAATACTCATAATAATGAAAAAAGGCAAGACAGTTTAGCATAAGTGCCCAAGGGAGTGAGCCGATAATATGTGTGGCTGGAGGTTAGGATAGGGCAAGAAAGATTAAGGTTGGGCTTTTAAAAAGCAAAGGCCATTTAAAAATACTGGATTAGATATGTCACAGGCCTGTGTGGCCCAATATGACAGCCACATGTGGCTACTGAGCACTTGAAATGTGACTAGTCTGAACTGAGATGTGTTAAGTGTGAAATACACACCTGATTTTACATACGTCATCCAAACAAAAGAATGTGAACATATCTTAATAGTCTTTATACCGCATACATGTTGAAATGATAATAATTTGGATAATCGGGGTAAACAAAATATAATATTTAAATGAATTTTACTACTTTCTTTTAAACTTTTTCAAGTGGCTACCAGAAAATTTTAAATTAATTATGTGATTCAAGTTATATTCACAATATAATGGACAATATAATGGACAATGTTGTCATGAGCCATATAAACGCTTATACTATGATTCAGTAATCGCTGTTTAGAAATTACATCTTAATGAAATAATCCAAAAGTAAATTGAAATGCTATGCCCAAAATTATTCATTACAGTGTCATTTTTAAGACCAAAATCTTAGAAACAATTATATTCTAACCTCTGAATGAAAAAGGAATAGTTAAGAAAAATTATCATTGTTGGAATATCCAATAAAATATGTATTAATACTCTGTAAGCATTCATTATGAAGACAAGGTAGCAACACAGGAAATTCTTAACATAAAATGTTGTTTGAAAAAACAAAAATCAGCCCACAGCACACAATGTACACTGTATCTCAGTCTGTCCAATCTGCATGTGGGCGTGTTCTTTCATTCACTCATCATAAATTCTCACAACTATTACTACACCTGTATTCAGGAACGGTCAGGAGATGAAAGGGTATGGGGTGGCAGCCAGGTAAACAGACAATTGTGTGTAAAAGTAGAAATACATGCAAGGTGGGATGGTCGCCTGAAGTCACAGCTAGGTTTTCCTGAGCTAAGCAATGGCTGGGGAAAATGTGAAGGTAAACAAGCAAGCTGTTCTTCTGGTCAGGTGTGATATGGGTTTTTCCTCAAATTCCCAAACTTTCTTGGATTTTCGCCTTGAAAAGGCAGACTGGAGATTAACAACATCTGACTCCACGTGGAGCCCCTGGCACGGAGCGCGTGTTCACTGTCGGCTGCGTGAGGAACCAGGTAGCGCTTAACAGTGAGGCTCTGGGGTCAGACCTGGGTCTGAACCGGCTCTAACACCTCCAGAGGTGTGAACTTTGAGTTGCTGTACCTCTCTGAGTCTCAGTTTCCCCACATGTAAAATGCAGATAATTATAGTATCTACTTCACTGATACACTGTTGAGAACATTCAATGAAATAATGCTCAGAAAGCTCTTAGCAGAGTGCGTGTCACATAATAAGCACTAAAGAAATGTTGGCTTTTGTATTATTATTATTGTAATGATTAGGAGAAGAGCGTGATATATAACCGATCAGAATGATACAGTAGAAGAGCAGAGCCTGCTTGTTCCCGACGCTACATTCTGGCTGTTCTGGGTCACTTACTTTCAGTTTCTAGTGTATTATATAGCCATTGAATCTACTCAACCAAGGTTTCTTCTTCATTTTTTTAATGCCTTGAAGGATGATGAAATTATAAATGTTCTATATAATGTGATATCGAAATAATTTAACCAGAGAATTATTTAGGTCTGCTGTCCTTCACCCAGCAGCATAACTTACAAAAGCCAGACTGCACCCTCATTTCGAATTTCACTTTATTTCTTCTGAGGCTGTAACTCATTTGGTTCCAATCTCTTCAGTCAGAAGAGTAAGCACAATTTACCAATCTTCAGGTAACCTCTCATTAGTCAAAAACAAAACCAGGTCAATTGCTTTGTTGTGTCTTAAAGCGATCCTGATGAATTCAAGAAATCTTGAAGACAAACATTTCATTCTTTTAATACTCAGCCCTGCTCTTTTCTCTTATTACTAAGCAAGTTTGCATGAAAACAGACTCTGTTTTATAAATAGAACATTGTTCAAGGTTTTCTAGAGGTGTCTGCTAAAAATAAAGAGGGTTATAGTTTACTTCTTTATAGCTTTCAAAACAAAACAAAACAGCCTGAGCTTAACTAAATGTGTTATATTTCATTTTTTGAAAGGTATCTTTGTGTGAGCCAGGTTTGATTTCTTGAAATGAAATTCCCCAGAAGTTAGATTTCCTCTGTTTATACAAGGTGTGCCTGTGTAAAGTAATGACACCAGTGTTTGGGTTTGTTTTTTTTTTTTTTTAAACATATGCCCCCAGAATGAATACAACTCAGTGATACTATCCTCCTACACTATAAAATACACACACAATTACTTTTTGAAAATTTCTTACTTTGAGGGGTATAATAATCATTTTGATGTATAAAGTTTTAGGTTATTTGCTCACAAATCAACAGCATTACTTGGAACCTGAATCTATTGGTCCCCAAATTGTGAAATCCGTTCTAAACTGTTTCTAGGTTGCCTGGTTGGAACTAAAGTGCCATGCTATCGAAACAATGCCAGGTTCCCAGGTGGGCCCCAGGAGCCAAGGTAATTCAGGTGATGGCTAATATACAACATTAGGACAATGTGAACATGGAAAAAGAACTGTGATATTCAGCTCTGGATGCCACGGACACATCTCTCCTTGCTCTGTTCAGATGGGGCTCCCTGATCTCCAGTTTGGTGGCAGCTCTAAGGTACTGTGGCAATGGCAATGACTGGAAAGAGGCGAATTAGGCTTCCTGGTGTAACTTTCCAGGGCAACATTTCCCACACTATGTCCAACAGATCTGATCTGCTGAGATTGTTCTGGATCAAAAAGGGTTCTATGGTTAAATAGGTTTGAAAAAAATGCTTTTGCATTTCCCTCCAAATTTGGGATATAAAGTGAACATTATCATAGTAATGACTCTGAGAAGCCCTGCAGAGAAAAAACTTGTTTAATTTGATATAATGGGACATATTCCAAGCATATGAAGCCCCTATCAGTCCTGTCCCATGCTTTTTTTAATAGTGTCTATTAATAATAGCTACCTTTACCTAAATCTTGGCACGTGGCAGATACTTACTGTTCTAAGCACTTTGTGTTCATGAACTCATTTAATATGCACAGCATCCCTTTGAGGTTGATGTTATGATCAACCTCCTTTTACACAGGAGGAAACTGAGGCAAAAAAAGGTAGAGATTTCCAAAGTCACATGGAGCCCTGTTCTTAGTAACCATGCAAAATAAACCCTGGAAGCCAATTTCCTTGAACATTACTTTAGGAAACACTGTCTAAAGGGCAGGTCCAGGCCTCCCCTGGATAGCCCTTGTCACTGCTTTCTTCTCTTAAATTGGTCTCCTCACTCTCATGTCCCAAGTCCATGAGTATCTTGAGGCTGGATTTGGAAGTTTTCTAAGTGTTACAAGTTTCCTTTTTTTGCAACAAAGAAAGACAGAATCTGAGGACGGGTCTTTTTCCACAAAAGACTGAAGAAAGATTCATCCACAATTCAAAGGAAATCCAGGTTTACTTTGTTCTGGTGAATTAGTTTCCTCGTGCTGCCATACCCAATTTTCTCAAACTTGGTGGCCTCAAACAACACCAATTTATCATCTTGGCAGTTCTGGAAGTCAGAAGTCCAAAATTAGTCTCACTGTACCAAAATCAAGGTATTGGCAGGGCTGGTTCCTTTTGGATGCTCCAGGGGAGAATCCATATCCTTGCCTTTTCTGGTTTCTAGAGGCTTCCCACATTCCTTGGCTCCTGGGCCTGCATCACTCTGACCTCTGCTTCTGTGGCCACACCTCCTTCTCTCACTTTGACCCTCCTGTCTCCCTCTTTTAAGGACCCATGTGATGACACTGGGCCCACCCAGATAATCCGGGAGAATCACACCATGGCATGGTCCTTAATTCAACCACATCTGCAAAATCTTCTTTGCCATGTAAGGTAACAGTCCCATGTTTCTGGGATTAGGCTGTGGACATATTTGGGGAGAGGGTCATTATTCTGCATGCCACACTGGCAGGGCACTGTTGGTGAGCCGAAGAGGAAGAGGACAGGGACCTAGAGCTGGCATGGGGAAGGGGATGAGACAAGGTCACGGGGCTTCCCCTTTCCTCCCCTACCCTGTTACCATCACCAGCTCATCCACCGTGGCCCCTGAACAGAGGAGGTGAGATGAAAGAGGAGCTCGGCTGTGCTTCTCAGCTACGTTTACCCCCAGGGGACATCACCTGGATCCACAGATCATTCTGGTTTATCATCCTGGAGCAATGATTTTCATTAAAGATGTCGAGAATTTTCATATTAATACGAGCTTGTATATTTCTGGTTCTCTTTAAGAGCAATATATATATTTTTATCTCCCTGGTTGCCAGAGAGTATGAAGGTAGGATAATCTATCTCCAATAATAATAGTGATGTTTAAATAAATGAATACCTATGACATGCTTGGATCAGTGGCCAACACACACGAGGCTCTCGATAAGCATTACCATTCCATTCTGTTGCTGTTCCACCACTGAGATAATTATGTACTCATCTGCTAGGTGCTTTCAATACTTTCGCTCCTGTGAGCCTTACGACAACTCTGGAGGTTAGGAACTATTATTTTTTTCAGTTTTACAGACAAACAAATAAGAGAAAGTCTACAGTGTTTAAATCTCTTGATGAGGGCCCTGCATCTGACGGGCAAAGTTGGGATCCAGACTCAGATCTGTTTGCTTCCAGAACCCCCAGTTTCAACGTTTCTGTTTCTCCTTCAAATCTGCTACCCAGGCTCCTCTGGGGCCAGCAGAGCGTGTCAGAATCATGAGCTAAATCAGAATTAGCATAGTTTCGGAGTTAGTTCCCAAGGGGCTCTTGTTTGTAGGCTTTCTGAGTTATTAATTCTGCAAAGAACAAATTTCTGACTTCCTTGTTTTTGCCAGTGTTTTAGAAGGTGAGGAACCAGAAATCTTTCCTCTGGAAAGTGGGTTGTTACTGCATGGGATCCCACGCTTGTGAGTCACCTCTCCTCTCTATCTGGTGACACATCACCTCTCGTGTGACACGGCCACAGCCTCTAGCTAGTCAAATACTTTCTTCTTAAAGCCTTTAACGAGCACTGTCAAAAGAGGCATGCTGTCTTTTTCAACCGATGGAAATTTCTAGAAGTCAGATTTTTGCTGGCTGTCCCTAAAACTGAAAACTTTGAACCAGTGGCAGTGGCATTCATCACAGTGGCTATACATTTACAAGAATATCTAATGTGCACACAGATTCGTGCTGCTTCTGAGGGTTCTGGCTAAGCATACCACCTTGA